TATAACGGGATGATTAGCTAAGGACTTTATGTGAATTGAACTGCTTTTACGCAAAGTCTTTAAAACGTAATTGCTTTGGAACATTTTAAATCTAATGATTAGTTTCAAACATGTCGTCTGAAAAGGTGTGCTTGTTCATTAAATCAAACATGCATACAAAATATTTGCGATAATACTATCGACTAATGTTTTTGTTAACTATTGTTTTGCTATTTGTAGCTGTTATTGTAGCTAATCGCAATAGATATGGCGTGCAGATGGTCACTTTGTTTCAGATACAGTTAAGTCACACCAATTTTAGAATATACAGCTTGTTTATACTAGGCTTGCTATGTTTATATTAGGCTTGCAATGTGAACTCTAGCCTACACATTGAACCTCACCAAGACAACTATATCAGCACGCAATACCACGTTTGTAAAAGTAATCGATTACTTGAACACAACGTGGAGGATTCCGACCAGCGCACAACTTTACGCTTGAATTTATTCGTCGTTTATGACCTGTTGAATTCAAATTAAACCAGTAGCGTAGCGAGGGGGGGGGGGGGGGGGGGCGGGGGGGGGGACACATGTTCCCGGGCGCCGACCTCAGGGGGCGCCAAAATGGGTTGGAAAAATAAATAGAAAGGTTGAGGGGGGTGCAAATCGAAAGTTTGAGGGGGGGGGGGTGCAAATGGAAATCTCGAGGGGGGGTGCAAATCGAAAGTTTGAGGGGGGGGGGGTGCAAATCAAAATCTCGAGGGGGGGTGCAAATCGAAAAGTTTGTTCCCGGGCGCCGGGAAGGGTCGCTACACCTCTGAATTAAACACACGGCATAAGAGAGTTTTTTCTTTACTGAACAAGGCCTAGTCTTAGTACACCAAATATTTAAATGTGCTGTGGTCAAGACAATTTAATAGTAATTAATAATATAAAGTATTTTTTTGCAAAAATAAGAAATTATGATGTGAGTTACTCGGCTAGGGTCGATGCTTGCATGAATACGTACAAATACAACGACGATCCAATCGATATGAGACAGGACGGCGTTGATATATTCCTCATCTTTTATTGCATATAATATACATGACTACATATTACTAGATCGACGACAGACAGGATGAAGACTTCTAGATCCTAACGCGACGAGAACAAGACTAAGACTGATTTCAACTATTTGCTCTAACAACCAAAACATACTTTCCCACGTCACATCCTTAATTGCTTTGTCACGCAATTATAATCTTTTATTAATTCCACTACACACATACTCTAAAACTATCAACATATTTTATTAAATACTTTTCACTACTCATACTCTCAAACTCATTCAAAACAACAAGGTCCATTCGCAACAGTAGTGTCGTATGGGACATTTTCTTAAATACCATACCTACCTATAACTTAAAGAGTGTCTAGGATGTTATCGCCAGCCATCAATTACTCCCCAGAAATCTCGCCCTGATTACCCGTTGGAGCAATTACGCTCAAATAATTACTCCAACTCAAAATGACATATACCCTCTCCCACTTCAACTAATGATAGATCTAGCTTTACAAGATGAAAATGGAAATTAGTATAAAAAAATATCAACAATTATAAATGTAATAAGTATTCCAAAGTGATGGAATATTATTTACCAACAATTTTGTTATCGAGCTGACCCGCTCCGTAAGTATAGGCCACTATTTAGTTGTTTTATTTGCTACTTTTTAGTAATTCATAAATTGTGAATTCGACACTACCCTCTCTTACCCCTCCCTCCTCCACTCCCCTCTTCCTCCTCCCCTCTCCTCCCCCACCCCCCACTCTCCATGAAAGCGGCCGTCTGTGACGACAGTTTACAGTCGACCATGAAAACCTCAAGGAGAACTCGGTTTCAAATTGTTTAAAAGCTGAAGTATCGGCCCCTAATAGCCGTCACATTGTAAACATTCGGGGTGAACCACAGCTCACATGACTGGTTGGGTGTAGGTGGTAGCGATAAGCCTAGAGAGCGGGATAGGAACGGGAATATTTTTCATGGTTTAGATTAGATAGTAAATAATAATTTAAAGAATACTATATTCAACAACATATTAGGAGATGAAAGTATTATGTAACAACCGGCAATGATACTAAAACAAACAAACAACGCTCACTAAACCCATCTTCATAAAACTTATGGCCTGGTCCACGTGACTTCTCAGCCCGCGACCCAGCCCGCACCAATCGACTTTACCCCCCCCCCCCCCCCCTCAACCCTAAGATAACAAAAACATATATGATACGTACACATGCATTAACCTAACGTACTATATTTTAAAAAATATTTCTTTATAATGAACACTAACTCAGTCTGTCAAATCTCTTACCACATTCATAAAACCTAACAACACGTCATATCAAAGTCTACAAAACAATACAGTATCCAAAACACGATGTACACTTAACATAAGGCTCTCTGCAAACATTATGACAGGAAAAAATTAAAACGACCATAAAATTAAAATTTCCTTTATCTTATTTTAGTGAATCGAGTATCAGCTTTATCATAGAATTAAATCTTCTATAGTTTGTCATGTTGACATCTGCAATGTCTTATAGAAAATATGCACTCAAAGATTTTGTTACATTTAAATTATAATTTTTTGACTTATATTTTGATAAAATAATACACGCATTTGTTAGTGAAAACAAAAAGAAATCCATCAGACCGGTCTAAAATTGTAAGGTGTGTCTATAAAAAGGTTTAAGGGAATACTAAAATCAGGTTGTAAAAATTCGGAGAAGAAGATAGTGTAGAACGAAAATATTAGTAACTCAATGAGAAATTATTTATTACTTTTGGGAATTCATACAAATATGCCAAATCTGGATAACTGACGTTTATGTTGAGTGTGTATCCCTGCACTTTCTTGCTGATTAAAATATAACTGGGAGAGTTATGCTTTTCTAAATTTAGCTACAATTACGAGGTCGACATGACGGCGTTTCCAAATTTACATTTATGTTGTCCCTGTTAACCATGTAGTTATGTGTTTATCTTAAGATGGTTGTAGAAACTAGCCCGGGGCCGAGTTGTATGGAAGCCACTTGGTTTACTATGTCCTAGTGGGACCGCAGGCTACCAATAAACGTATTTCATTTTTAAGCTTGTATTTAGAAAACGTATAAATGAATGTATTTGTAAGAAAGTTTATTAGCCGTTGCGTTACTTTAACACTCGTTGTCTCATTTAATGTCGCACAACGTGGTGAGTTATCTCTGTTCGATTGCACAAAAATAAAAATCCCGAATATAATAGAAAAAAGTCTCGAGGCGAATCCGGGTTCAAGTCAGTAGACCGTCCTTGAGTCCACCTAGCTCTGATGGGTACCTAACTCACGTTAGGGTAAGTAAAGGCGGCTGGGCATAGCGCTGACCACAGTATACCTTCAAATAACGAGGTCACAGTAACAAGTGAACTCTACGTCACTTGCCCCATAGATTGTCAGTTTTGAAATAGAACTTTAATTATTGATAAAAACGTATCAGCCTCGTTTTCAAAATGAATGAATAGATTAATTTTTATTTGCTTAGTGGCAGTCAGTGACTAAGGAGGGGGTGTCTAGGGGGGGGTCAAACCCGCCCCCCCCCCCCCCCATAGACACCTCGGTAGATACATAAAGGTCGAGTGGGGGGTTGCAAAATCGAAAGTCTGAAGGGAGGGGTGCAAATGAAAAGTTTAAGGGGGGGGGGGGTTGCAAATCAAAAGTTTAAGGGGGGTGTAAATCAAAAGTTTGTCCTCGGGGGCCGGGGAGGGGTGCTACGCCTCTGATATATACATTTATGATGCGGGAATAAATTTGAACCCCATCCCCATGAGACGATCCTGGCTACGCCACTGGTGGCAGTATAGTAATGTAAACTTCTGTGAAACTTTTGAGCTTAGTGACAGTATAGTAATGTAAACTTTTGTGAAACTTTTAAGCTTAGTGGCGGTATAGTTATGTAAACTTGTGATCTTAGTGGCGGTATAGTAATGTAAACTTTTGAGAAATTTTTTAGCCTTACGGTCCATGGGAAAGATGAAGTAGAATTTCATTAACCCCATTTGATTTACATAACCCGAGTCAAGTACCCATTAAACTGGGTAGACTTAGGGCACGAGCCCGAATACTTGCATGCTTAGACCTATATGTTTTTTTTTTTTTTTGCTTAACACTCCTGTTTGCTAACAAATAGATTAAAGATGTACACATTTCTCTAGCTTTGAGGTTACTGTAACAGACTCTATTTTTTGAATTGTTCAACTTATAAGGCTTGTCTGGTCTCTCTTACGTACTAAACGTACGTATCCTACTATAATTTTTAAAATATTTCTTTATACTGAACAATAATTCAGTCTGTCAAATCTATCACCACATTCACAAACACTAAACTTTTCTAATGTTGCTTTCATGGTTTTCTTTTTCAGCCATTACTATACGTTAGCTTGAAACATTTAAATAGCGTTTGCACGTCAGTATCTAAAAATAGCAGGAAAAACTGAGTCACTCCAGCTCTATATAGAAGCTTTTTATTTTTTGGAGTTGGTTCGGAGGCGTATAGAAGCGAGACTACAGCAGTTTAATATAAGCTGATGTTACTAAGGAGAGTACTGAATGATTTGGCAGATTGACTTTCTATCTCATGAAACTAGAAAATGTCTATACACTCTATTGTATAAAAGGTAGGCTACACATGAGCAGGAAAAGAATAAAATACGAGTGAAACAGTAAACTTTGGCAATATTTGATTGGTTTGAAAATCTACGGTAAATTGAAATAAATGCCTCAGATGGAAACGTATCGACAATAAAATGTTTGAAAGTTTGACAGTTTGTAGACTATTTGACAACCAAGCCCGATGTGAATATGACTTCATTAAGTGGACTTTATAAAACAGTGCGCCGCTGGACACTTGGCAAAAGGGAAGTAAATTTGTCCTGAGTTTTCCAAACTGTGTCACAAGATAATCACACACTTCCTGTTTTTACGTCCAACGCGCCTCACCCTCCTCGCCTCTTGGCTCACTTAGCGAATTTTATTTTTAGATGAACCGTCGATAGCCGATTGGCTTAGACTACCATCAGCCAACACAAGTAGATTTCCCAATCCACGACAGTCAGATATTCAACATTTCTAACGTTTTGTTAAATAATCGGTAAGTTAGTTTCTTATATCTGGTACTTGTATTGTAACATATGTTACGATTGTGATCATTTAAAACTAAAACGTGCAAAATAAATTTTCTGATAGATGTTTTAATTTTTTTTAAATGTAGGGCCAAATGCATATTTGCCAATGAGTTTTTATCGAAAAAGCCTGTAGTCTACATTAAATTATACACTAAATTGTTTTGTGTAAAAAGTAAATCCTGCTTTCATCAGATGACATCACTTGTAGCCATTTTTAATGATATTTTTATAGCTTGAGATATGGTTAGCTGTAATAAACTACAGCATCTGATCGCATGGGCAAAAACATCTCTCTAATAACCTGCTTAAAAGAATATAATTTTTGTCAAGCAAAATTTATTTTTACTTTCTTGTATACATAGTATAGAGGGAGCATAGTAATCGTGCACAAAAATTACATAAACTTTGACAGTTTTCACCGTTTTACATATCAGTACTTCATCATACACGGAGTATAAATCCAGATTTATCCAAATTTTGTCTTTGTACGAGTAATCGTGTCGTATTTTTTATATCTTAACAAATGTGTGAATGTTCGCCTCTCAGTATTCGAAATTTAAGTCGACCCCCCCCCCCCCCCCTCACATCTCTACCCCAAAATGTCCCCCCCGGAGAAAAATGTCGTGTAGAAAAATTGTTCGGTCTTCTAGTTGCAAACGAGAATACACAATAACAAGGATTTTTTTATAGTAACAATCTAATCTAGATCTAGATCTAGAATCTAGCTAGACTATCTAGATTCTAGATCTAAAATCTAGACTAGAATAATAGAATCTAGAGATCTAGAAAATCTTAGATCCAATTTTAAAATTTAAGTAATATTGAACTTTATGAAATATGATCTAGAATAATCTAGATCTAGAATTCTAGATCTAACCCTAGATCAATAGATCTAGATTAGATATATTCTAGATCTATAAGATCTAGAGATGTAGGTTTTTATCTAGACTAGAAAAAAAATCTAAATCTTATATTCTTATAATTATATAGACTATTACAGACTATAAAATTGTATATATTATTTAGTTACCATTATTTATAGGCCTAGATCTATAAAATATTCTTCTAGATCTCTAGATTTAAAATCTAGACTTGACTCTAATTATCTAAAACTAATAGCTACTAGATCTAGATCAAATTTCAAACACTGCGGTTTTGCATAAAACATTCGAAATACAGTAGCTAGATCTAGATTATCTATAGATCTAGAATTTTGAGTCTAGGCCGAAAACCGGAGAGTGACTTGGGCGTTGGGCATTGTGCAGATCAGCAAAGAACTCTAGATCTAGATCACAATCCAGACTCTAGTAAGTAGATCTAGATCTAGTCAAGTATTTAGAATCTACTAGATCTAGACTCTAGTAACAAGACTAGTAGAGATTTAGAATTCAGTAAGTCTAGAATCTAGATCTTGAATTCTAGAGTTTTCTAGACTAATCAAATCTAGCTAGACTAAATCAAGGCTCTTAAAAACTAGACTAGTTTCCCCATAGTCTGTCCAGATCTATATTCAAATCCATGGCTAAATTAGTGAAGTGGTAACCATCCTAGGGTCGTAGAGTTATAGACGGACATAAGGTTAGAGTTTTTAGATGGTTAGAATAGTTTTTAAAAAGTAATTTTTGTATGTTACCACACTCTAGCTCTAGTTTAAAGAAACTTTTTAAAATTCTAGATCTAGACCTTCTCTTGACCTGGGTTAGCAGCCACTAGCTTAGGTTGTGTTTAAATATTTTTTAGTCATTGAAATATAATGGAGGACCTACTGGTATAAGTAAAGGGTGCTAAATGTATTAACACAATCTCCAGCTAATTACATGACTTTATTTAATTTATAATACTTTTAAAGTTTAAAGAGTTTCTGTGTTTATCTAGCCCTAATTATATGCTTTCAGGTGTTGAAGTTTTGATTCTGCTGTGTGTTCAAATGCCATTCCGTCCTAGCAAGAAAAGAGGTTGTGTTTAAGGACAACATTAAAGTGTTTGAATTGTGTGAATATTGTAAGCTTTATTTAATTCTGTGAATTTTGATAAAAATGTTAATAAATGTTACATAATTTAATTTATTTAAATTTAAACTCATTTTTGGTAAAACATTAAATATTAAACAAACTCAAGTAGGCCTACATAGCTTACTTGGTAATATAATTTGTATAACAAAAATTAGTCACTTTGTGAATTTCCTTCACCACCACTGTTATCAGTAAAGAGTAAAAATTAATTCTATTATATGGTATATATGTATTATATGACATATGTTGATATACTATATTGTATTATTTCAGAGCATGATGTCAATGTCGGACAGCTATCTGTTTATTCTAACAACATTTACTTGAGAACTGAAAGGTGTTTGTAGTCAAGGTTCAAGCTGAAACATTTAATAATCTCCAAGTTGTAAGTGTTCAAAAATTTAGAAACTTCCATCTTTTTTTATTTGTTTAACAAGAAGAAATAGGTATTGCTATTTACATTAATATTTTATTTTTATATTATAGACTGCTTAGTATAAAAAAATTTGATACTATAAAGCCTAAAGTTATTACCTATTTTGCCAATTTAACCATTTTCAATTTTCTATAGTATCATTTTTTTTAGAATTAAAATAATTCTTATCACTGGTATATGATGTTACCTATTTTATACTACAGCAGTATAGGCCGTGAGCAATTCCTACAGAAAGTCAAAAAGAAAACAGGAGCCACGCAGTTCAGGTAAGAAAAAATTTGATTTAAATTCATTTAAAAATGGTCAGGTAATTTGTTTTACAATTCTGAAATCATCTGTTATTGCTTATCAAGCTGTACAGGTAAAAAAATTGTGTACTGTTACAATAAATGTCATAATAATCAAAGCTTTATTTTCTGTAAGATGGAAATTAAACGTATACATTGTTTCAGTTGTGGCAAGCTGTGAAATTCAAAACAAGCAAATAATGATTGAAGAATCAGGTGTATTTCATCCAGGTTAGATATACTAAAACAGTTAAGGCAATTATAATGTAAACAGTTTAATATATGTGCTAGTTTAATATCTAAATGACTGTAGTAAACTTGTTCCATTAAAATGCAGTTTATCATTAAATCTAACATTTCTGTTGCTAGAGAAATAATTTGTTGTCTGTTCCTGTAGGAAATCATGAAGCTGAGATGTGCTATGGAGGAGAAGCTGATCTACACAAACATGTTACTGGCTGTAAGAAGAATCCAGGTCACAAAGGTTTTATACCTCTTAAAGATTTCAACGCAAATTGTCTCCCCTCACGTTACCATGACGACGATCTAATGTGTGAGACAATCAAAACATTGGCAGCCCTAACTGTCCAGGTAAAGACTAAATTCACCAGTCTAGAGAGACCAGAGTTTTCCCCAGGCACTCAAGTTCCATATCCATGTTATAATGACAGAGGAAGTCACGTGATGAGGTTAGGGACGGGGAGGGTGGAGAGTGTGTTCAAGTACGCAGAGAGTGACAAAACTTGTCATTGTGCCAAGTGTCAAGTCTCTGCCACACCCAGCAAAGTGTGGTGGGAGGTTAGAGTGTTGACAGCCACACACGTGGTGTTTGATGATAGTGAGGCGAGACAGACCAGGTGTGTTTTAGGTTTTGATGACAATAAAAGTCCAGTGGTCAGTCTTGATGGCTGGGAGGTGGGGGGTTGGGCAGACATTGAGAGAGACTGTTGTGTGTTGAAATATGTGACATGTGACTTAGAGTTGGTTGATGAACTAGACAAGATGTGTGAGCACTTTGATGATCTATGTAGGGAAGTAAAGCACAAATACAGGAGATTTGTTGATGTGGACAAGTTGACAGTTATAGTGTCACATCCTCATGGCTGTTCTAAACAGGTCTCTGTAGGACAATGGACACACAGACGTGAGAGGGATGAGAAACTGTTTAACGGCACCAGGTACGTGTACACAACATGTACATGTCCAGGCTCCAGTGGAGCTTGTGTCTACAGGCTGGGATATGGCAAGTGGTTGTATCTCCATCCCCACAGTGGATCAAACTCTGAAGGAAATTATAGTGGGGAGATGTGGTACTGATGTAACTGTTGGTTCTCTTCCCTTGTCAACACAATGTAAATAAACAAAATGGCGGAACTTTTTCCCGTCATTAAACTGATTGTATTAAGACTTGCAGGTGTTGTAAACATTTTATTGCGTTTAAATGATTAAAACACATGTTTTAATTGATGTAAACCGTTTAACCGTTTTAATTTGCATGTACATTGATGGGTTTTAGAGTTTTTTTGTTTCAAATGTTATAAATAATTTGCTTATAATTTTTGTCGGCAAATTGTTGTCATATAGTCACATATACTATATACCTATAGGCTTGCTATTACCTGTAAATTAAATGTAACCTACCTGCTAAATGTTATATTCATTCTGTTTGTATTTACTTACAAAATGTTCACACTAGACAACATTAAATGGTAACAGAAAATGTTTTTCTTCTGTTGTTATTTTAATCTTTGTTGTCTGTTGATGTTTAAGTTGTTGTTAAACAGAGCATGTTGTGATGTCGATGTTCGCGCCAGGTTGTCATGGGTTGTAAGTTTAAACTTTACAACAAAGTCCATTTCTTTATTCTCAATACACCCGTAAGACTAATTTAAATAAGATAATTAGAAAAATGAGGAATTCTAATCATTTAAAAATATTTGACATATCGCATGCTATATTTAGATGCTTCGTCGCTTCTAGACCTGCTCCAATAGAAATGTAAAGTGAAAAAGTAGTTTGCTGTCATTGACTGACATTTGTGTAAACACTGCTGTCATTGACTGACATTTGTGTAAACACTGCTATCATTGACTAGAAATCCTTGAACAAACTGACTGTGATATTGTAAAATATCTTTTGCACAGGTTGATAGATCGGCAGTGAAAGAACAAGTTGTGTAAATGTAAAACACGGAATATAAGTTTTTAAACATGAAAACTGTAAACCGTGGC